TGGATCGATGCTCATGATATTAATCACTGGATTGTCTGGTCCAGACTCGATTATTTACAGACCGCCGTCATATAGCTGGAATATTGCTGAGTGCGGCGTTAAACAACAAACCAACCAACCAAAAATCGAGCGAAGGGTAAGGTCACTACCGGAATAAGAAAAGACAACCGTGATCTACTCACAGCATTTTACGCTAGAGATAGGGAATGTTATTGTTCACATTTGGGATATTTTTGGTCACGAAATCAGAAATCAGACACACTTCTACGGGGTTTTCGAATGATTTGTATCGGAAATGTTCACTTTGAGTGATCTGGTCATGCAGTCGTGAACAAACAACTCCCGAAACAGTGCCACAAAATACTCTTCAAAGGGGACACTGATGGCACAAGCGGATCATCCCATGTAAGTTTATATATCTGACCAGATGGTTTAAACTCACTTCATTTCACCACGCTTATCCTTTTACGTTAAATCAAATTTAAAGTTGTGAAAGTGGTCGGGTGCGCATGGGTCACGCTCATGGGGACCCTCGATCTATAGATCGGTAGTCGTACTTTGTAAATGGATATAGCTCGATTATATAGTGTCTGTAAAAGCTTATATAGAATGCAAACCGAATTTGATGCGTGTGACTATCTTGTTTGGTTTAATAAAGTGTTTGTAAATATCTCTCGCTCTCATGAGATTGCTTATGGTTGCAAATGAATGACGTCTCATGATTTTTTTATGAATGAAAAAGTAGTCCCGATGTGACAGAGGTCACGGTTATTCAATCAAAACGAATAAAACAACGTCAGCCTTGTACGACACACGTGTGACGTACGGATTAAGTATCTTACCACCTGTATCTTCACCACGTAGGGGGCGGTCGGGTAGCCTAGTGGTTAAAGCGTTAGCTCGTCACGCCGAGGACCCGGGTTCTATTCCCGACATGGGTACAATGTGTGAAGCCCATTTCTGGTGTCCCCGCCGTGATATTGCTGGAATATTGCTAAAAGCGGCGTAAAACCATACTCACTCACTCACTCACCACGTGGGTATTAAATGTACATATCAGAACTTGTGGTTCTTTGTTTTGTTTTAATTGATGTAGTTGCATGTCTCGTGCCAAGTTACAGTTTAATTTCATAATTGATTGATCAGAAGTAAATAGAAAACTTAGCACAGTTTAGAAAATTACAACCATTACTTATAGAATAGCACACGAGGTATGAGTGATTACGGAATATATGTCACGAGTGAAATTAATGTTTTAAAGTTAAAACATTAATTTCACGAGTGACATATTTTCCGTAATCTCTTGTACCGAGTGGGTTATTCTATTTATTACTCATAATCCTTTCAAAGAAATATTTCAAGAAGAATAAATGTCACGGTTAAGAATCATCTGCTTCGTATCAATCCGCGTGTGAAAAATCACTCACTCACTCTAACCGCATTACGTGTTAACATGTTGTTACGAAAAATATAGTTCTGTTAAAAACCTTCAAAGATATCATTAAAGCAGGTAAATTTCTGTCTGATTTCTGCAGAATACACTATCTAGCATTGATAAAGAAGACAAGTTTCAAACAATGTTCAGGTTTTTTAATCAAGGCTTGTTTTGACATGATCTCGTCTTTGACAGACAGCCACCGTCGTGCATTAGCATTGACATGCATTTCACATTGGGAAGTGAGTGAGTGAGTTTGGTTTAACGCCGCCTTTTACAGTATTCCAGTTATATCACGGCGTGTCAGCTTAATGTGGGAGGAAAGCCCGAAGTGATGCAGGTCTCGGACGTTTACCACTTCAGTGAAACCCAGGAGCACGGGAATGGTGCTGACAAACCTAGAAACATAATCGGGGCGAACCGGGATTCGAACCCACAATCATAGGTTTCTGGCGTGCCCAAGGGACGCGACTCTGCACAGCGAATCGCGGCGCCTTAGACGACTGGGCCACCCGTGCCCCCTCACATTGGGAAGAGGAAACGTGGGAAACCTGTCATTTTTTTTATGTGTCTTTCGAAAAAAATGCCCAAACCTGTAACAACATTGAAGAAATGTACAGAAGTCTTGTTTGTTAGAGGTGAGGTGAAATGGGGTTTAACGTCGCGTCCAAGATTATTGCACTTATATAGCGACGTGCATGCACGTGTGTGTGTGTGTGTGTGTGTGTGTGTGTGTGTGTGTGTGTGTGTGTGTGTGTGTGTTAGCGTGGTGAAATGAAGTGAGTTTAAACCATCTGGTCAGATATATAAACTTACATGGGATGATCCGCTTGTGCCATCAGTGTCCCCTTTGAAGAGTATTTTGTGGCACTGTTTCGGGAGTTGTTTGTTCACGACTGCATGACCAGATCACTCAAAGTGAACATTTCCGATACAAATCATTCGAAAACTCCGTAGAAGTGTGTCTGATTTCTGATTTCGTGACCAAAAATATCCCAAATGTGAACAATAACATTCCCTATCTCTAGCGTAAAATGCTGTGAGTAGATCACGGTTGTCTTTTCTTATTCCGGTAGTGACCTTACCCTTCGCTCGATTTTTGGTTGGTTGGTTTGTTGTTTAACGCCGCACTCAGCAATATTCCAGCTATATGACGGCGGTCTGTAAATAATCGAGTCTGGACCAGACAATCCAGTGATTAATATCATGAGCATCGATCCACGCAATTGGGATCGATGACATGCATCAACCTAGTCAGCGAGCCTGACCACCCGATCCCGTTAGTCGCCTTTTACGACAAGCATAGTCACCTTTTACGGCAAGCATGGGTTGCTTAAGACCTATTCTACCCCGGAATCTTCACGGGTCGCCCTTCGTTCGAAGCTGTCACTGACATACAAGCAGACTTGGGTTTGTTGATTTTCACGTCTTCAGTATAGGGTGGTACAGTTAACATGAATGTCTTTGGCGAACACTATGATTCTCTCTTCCAAAACGATACGGACATGATTAAAATTCAGCTGATAGACCAAGAAAACCGAACCATTTTGAATGCACAGACGGGACCCCGGCAGTGCGAGTGACCGACTGTTGGTCCGATATTCAAAGCGCGGCGCTAATGTGAACTTTCAAGTTTTCTTGGAGGTGTCCTGCGTAATAACAGCATGGCGCTTGAATTACCAGGAGTTGAAGAATTTCTTCCAAAAGGATCTTGAGCGTCGGTGCTGTTATGTTTACAAACACAACTGCAGGCGCTTGTTGCCAATGCGTATGCATAGAAATGTCAACAATGCCCATATTTGGGCATATATCAATATTCATACGCATCCAGATTTTGCAACCGGTTTCAGTTTGGTCTGTCAACGAATGAAAGTTGTTATGTATTAACACTTAAATATATACTTAAAGTGGCTAATAAATACAATATACCACACTCATTCTCTTTATACCATTTTTACAAAACGAGTGAACTTTCTATGGTATCTAACGAGAATGAGTGTAGTATTCTCTATGTATTTATTATAAAAAAAGCCGACAATAAATCTATAAATGTTATTTAATTACACCATTAATTTGGATATTTCTACAATTAAAAACATGTGAGTGTGAAAGACACAATTGTAATTCCAGTATGAAACTGAATTTAAATTAAGACTACAGAAAAAAAAAAAATTAGAAAAAGTAGTTAAAACTTGACCTAAAGTAACTTTGAGCAACACAAAATAGTTTTAAGCTGCTGCTTCAGGATATGAAATGCAAATGAAAATACAAAAAGTTAAAATAACTTCACGAAATATTTTAAGCATACAATCATAAGTAAGTGATGATTGCTACATGGGATTTACCTCCAAGTAATTTCTACACATTTAAAATGAGTATATGATTTCATTTGGTAAATCTTAGAATGGTTTCGGCCCATAAACCGAGGCAAGCAAGTGCTACATAACCAGGCCACCAAACCGGATGAAATAACACAGCACAACGTCTATGCCACTTGCAAGTGGACCCGTGAAGATCCGGGGTAAAATAGGTCTTCAGCAACCCATGCTTGCCATAAAAGGTGACTATGCTGTCGTAAGAGGCGACTAACGGGATCGGGTGGTCAGGCTTGCTAACTTGGTTGATGCATGTCATCGTGTCCCAATTGTGTGGATTGATGCTTAAATTACTGGATTGTCTGGTCCAGACTCGATTATTTACAGACCGCCGTCATATTGCTGTAATGTTGCTGAGTGCAGCGTTAACAAACAAACAAACAAACATTCGTTCTGTGCCCCAGTTCGGCAAAGGGTCTTGATTCGTCATTGAACAGGGATTGACGCCCATGAAGCAACTGCCTGACGCTATGGCATCGTGCACAAACACTTGGGGACAAGTGGTCTTTGTCAATATCCTTCAAGATGTATTCGTATTAGGAATTCAAGTCAGATATTTCTTTGTTTTGAAATTATGGACATTGTTCAACCTTTCATCTCGCGGGACAACTTTTGAAAATTTCAGATTTGTTTTGTCGTCAAAAGTCATGTAATTATACCCTAGTGGGATGTATCTCTATATCTTCCTCTGTGTGTGTGTGTGTGTGTGTGTGTGTGTGTGTGTGTGTGTGTGTGTGTGTGTGTGTGTGTGTGTGTGTGTGAAATACATTTAAAACGTAATTAACGCGACAAAACATATCTACGTGTGTAGAAACTATAACAGTTTTTGCCTATCCAAGTGTTTAGATATTACTTAAATGTTGACTGGCAATTTAGGTCAGTAAACCTTTAACTCTGATCTCATTTTGCTCAAACGTTAGACCATCATTATACAAGTGTTAGACAATGTGTAGATAAGTGTCAGACAATTGATAGACAAGTGCGTGCATTGGGAGGAGAAGGATGCTAGAGAGGACCGGACTAATGGCCTACTTCAGTTACAGCTGAAACTTACTTCACTTGGTATTGTTTGTCAGTTCAATGTACAAGTACCAATACGCAAGTCATGCAGCATATTAATATCACGAGAGGTACCATCACATGACTCATATTCATATTACATGTGTATAATATTTTGATTGACAGCTAAGTCTGGCTATAAAGATAAAGTACTTCTCACTCAAGCACACATTCACTCGGATGACATTCAGTCCTTAAAGGAAACGACCCTGTCAACAGCATGGTGTTCCGACTTTGTCTCTGTGTGGTCTTGGTGTGTGCTTGTGGATATGCTACCAAATCCACTGACTACTGTAGGGTTCTGGTCAACTACGACACCTTTAAGACATCCGTGGACAACTTTCTGGCTTCCAGGGATGAAACCTGTGGGAACTCGGACGTGCGCAGTGGTGAGTATATTGAAGCCATTACCTAGCCACCCCACACGGCATTCTTACCGTGTTAGTTTTGTCTTCTGGTTACTGGATGTTCCTGCTTGTCAATCATTGGTTTGTCTGGTCCAAACTTATTTACCCGCCTCCAAAATGTCACCCTATGCGGTACAGCACTGTTTATCCTTTCTGAGTGAGTTTGATAACACCCTACAGCACTAACCTCCAAAAAGCTGGTCTAAGTCTAGTGATTATACTGTAGCATCGCATATTAACTTGTAGAACACTATTCCGGAGATAACACTAAACACATTCAATTGAAGAGGTGAGTATGAAGCAACGTCACTTAGGCACCCTACACACGTCAGTCAACAAACTTGAGGCTGCGCGCTCGGTTCCAAACTAAAATAAGCATGGTTAAATAGATAACATAGCCCTACGTTGTATCAGATTGTATAAGATTGTATGTACATTGAACAGTTTCATACGCCGTGCATGACTGACCCTGTGCATCAAAGAGGACAGTATTTCGATTGTGAAGATACAGCGTTCGTGCTGTACACTGGTTACGTTCTAATTCACCTTAAATATAAAACACAGTTTTAGGGACACATAAATAAACAATATAAACAAAGAGAGTGTAGTATGTACATAACGTGTACGTTGATAAATGACTTGATCAATATCAGTGACACTAGTCACTATAATTGCTTCATAAAGTAGCATCTCATGTGCCGTCAACTTTAGCCTCCTGAATGTGAATTGAGTTAGTGAGTGAGTGAGTGGGTGAGTGAGTGAGTGAGTGAGTGAGTTGGGTTTAACACCGCTTTTAACATTATTCCAGTCATATCACTTCGTGTCAGCTTAATGTAGGAGGAAAGGCCTAAGTGATGCAGGTGTCAGACGTTTGCTGACAAACCTAGAAACATAATCGGGGAGAACTGGGATTCGAAACATAAATCATAGGTTTCTGGCATGCCCAAGGGACGCAACTCTGCACAGCGAATCGCGGCGCCTTAGACGCAAAAGTTGACGATCTTCTAAATCAACGAGTGTTTCATTTTCATATCAATGTGACGAGAGAGAAACGAAAATAAACATCGCGAAATATGACAGCAATGTTTTACTAAGTGCAAAGGTCACTGGATGTGATGTCCCAGACAAGGGAAGTCTACTGATAATTTGTCGTTACAAAACAATAACAGAACATTTTGAAATATTTCGCCTGCCACATGCAGACTAAACACAATCAGTATCAGTAATCACAACTATTATGAAATTATAATGTGACTTTTATTGGCATATTATTAAATCCGTTTGACCTTGTCTACTCCCGTGACCCAGGAAACGGTGGAAAATTTTACAACAAGCCACATGAGGTTTCTCGGTATCTTTTATTTAAAGTAATGTTAAGGATCACAATGTGCCTTTACCTTTAATATTGAGGTGTATGATGCTGACGTGTATAGGCTGAGGACTCTCCTCTTCACAATGATTATTGTGAATGACGCAGTACGTCTTAACTCGGGATCGGGTGGTCACGCTCGGTGACTTCGGTGATGCATGTCATCGTATCCCAACTGCGAGGATCGATGCTCATGATATCAATCACTGGATTGTCTGGTCCAGACTCGATTATTTACAGTTCGCCGTCATACAGCTGGAATGTTGCTGAGTGGGGCGTTAAACAACAAACAACCAACGAAAACATCTTTAGATATCGTGGATCACCTTTACTGAATAATATATATTGATATGATAATAAATAGGTATTTTCAGTATTACTCTCACGCATTACGTTTAGGATATTTGAAAGATTTTTGCTCTAATAAATAATTCATATTAAAATATATAAAGCTGTAATGGTTCTAACATGATTTTAGAAACTTTCCAATGACATTTATAGATTTATTCCTGAACTTAAAATACCGCCATGGTTGTGTACTGATGATACATTTGTAAATGCTTAGATATTTACAACTGTTTACAAGTTTTAACATTTCAGGGTCTTTTTGATATATTTTCCAAGATAATTATGTATACAGACACTAAAAATTGATCAATGCATCGGCACAATGCAGCTGATCAATCGTCAATTATTATGTTTCATCTCAACATAGATTATTTGAAGAAGTATCTATTTGGTGTCATTATTTAATTTTAGTTTTAGCATTCCGTGCATAATCAATAAATAAATAAATAAATGAAGAAATAGATAAGATCAATACAATAACATATATGTACAAAACTCATATAGACATTGTTTTTGTGTATAATGTTTTGTTTCTGAAAACAAACACAGTTAAAATATGGATGTTATGCGGTTGTGATAAATTAATTTCCTCTTAACAGGGGGCACAGGTGGCCCAGTCGTCTAAGGCGCCGCGATTCGTCGTGCAGAGTTGCGTCCCTTGGGCACGCCAGAAACCTATGATTTTGTGTTCGAATCCCGGTTCGCCCCGATTATGTTTCTAGGTTTGTCAGCACCATACCCGTGCTCGTGGGTTTCTCCGAAGTGGTAAACGTCTGAGACCTGCATTACTTCGGGCTTTCCTCCCACATTAAGCTGACACGCCATGATAAACTGGAATACTGTTAAAAGCGGCGTTAAATCCAACTCACTCACTCACACTTTCATAACTGTGACGTGAGAGTTTTTTAAATACTTTTTTTTTTTTAAGTTTAAGCCAAAATATGAGCCGTAAGAATACTCGTTTTAAAATGTAAACAGAAATCCTAGAGACGAGAAATATTTCTACTACTCTAGTCTACTATGCTGCTACAACTCCTACGTCTACTTCTGCTACTACTGTACTCTACTACTACTACTCCACTCTACTAGTACTACTCCACTCCGCTCCGCTCCACTCCGCTCCACTCCACTCCACTCCACTCCACTCCACTACGCTCCGCTCCACTCCACTCCACTCCACTCCACTCCACTCCACTCCACTCCACTCCACTCCACTACGCTCCGCTCCACTCCACTCCACTCCACTCCGCCCCACTCCGCTCCACTCCACTCCACTCCACTCCACTCCACTCCACTCCACCCCACCCCACCCCACACCACCCATCCAAACCCCACCCCGCTTCGCCCCGCCCCGCCCCGCCCCGCCCCGCCCCGTCCCGCTCCGCTCCACTCCACTCGCCTCCACTCCACTCCACTCCACTCCGCTCCACTCCACTCAACTCCACTCCACTACTCTACTCTACCTTTGCTACTGCTACTGCTACTACTACTGCTACTACTATTACAACAACTACTACTGCTACACTACTACTCTAGTCTACTATGCTGCTACTACTACTACTACTACTACTACTACTGCTGCTGCTGCTACTCCTGCTACTACGACTAATACTACAACAACTACTACTGCTCCACTCCACTCCACTCCACTCCGCTCCGCTCCGCTCCATTACACTCCACTCCACTCCACTCCACTCTACTACTCCTCTCCACTCCACTCCACTCCACTCCACTCCACTCCATTCCACTCCACTCCACTCCACTCTACTACTACAACTACTACCACTACTCTACTCTACTCTACCTGTGCTACTGCTACTACTACTACTGCTGCTGCTACTACTGCTACTACTACTACTACTACTACTGCTACTACTACTACTCTTATACTACAACTCTTCTGCTACCACTTTGGCTACTGATACGACGACTTCTACTACCACTACTACTACCACCACTGATACTACGACTACTACTACTGCTATTGCTACTGCTGCTACCACTACCACTTCTACTACTTGTGTTCTACTACTACCACTACGAATACTACTACTGCCCATTCAGTGAACAGATGCATATTTGGCTAGTCTTTCTCTTGGTGGTATTTGTCTGTATAACCGTAGAAGAGCAATGCACCAGAGAAGACATGTGAGTATTGGCATCACTTTATGTATCAATGTATTTCTGTTGTCTTTTACAGTATCCGGCTGTGGGGTGGTATATGGTCCAAGAGTGTTATATACTGGCACTCAGTCAACAACCAAATCCGGGAAGACCTGCCAGCGGTGGGATGCTCAGGAGCCACACACTCACGACAGAAACACAGACGCCAAGTTTGCTGTCCCAGGCTTTGACACACCCCAAACTGTAGCAGGATCTGCTAACTACTGCCGTGACCCAGCACGTAACGGATTCTTGTGGTGTTACACTACGAATCCAGGTGCACGCTGGGAAATGTGTGATGTTCCTATTTGTCAAAACTGATTTCAGTACAAGTACGATACTGACCCAATGAATCTCTTAGACTCTCATACTAAAGGAAGTGGTATTGTCTGCACAAGGTTCACTATTTATAACTGCGTCTCGCAACTAACCAAGTTTTGGTCACATCAATTATTGGCTGATGTGACATCACGCAATGGCGCCCGCCATCGCGATACGTTGACAATCAGCTGAGTCACATACTTTAGCCATATGATAGCCATATTGGTCCACTCTCGCTACAAGTATGTGAGAAACCTAATCTGATGCAAAATACACAGAGCTTCAAACCTTCTTGGCTGCAACATGCTACCTACCAGAACACTGTCGGGAGTTGCCGTCGGTGGTTTATCGTACCCAGACAGCATTGGTCACAATATCGATCACTGTTACGGGTTTGACACTACAGCACCTATACTCTTGGGCCTCACCAAAATGGTAACCGTCTAAGACCTGCATCACTTCGGGTTTTCCTCCCATTAAGCTGACACCCAAAATACTGTTGAAAGCAGTGCTACCACCAACTCCCTCTTTTCAAGGTGGGGGCACGGATGGCCCAGTCGCCGAAGGCGCCGCGATTCGTTGTGCAGAGTTGCGTCCCTTGGACACGCCAAAAAACCTATGATTGTGGGATCGAATCCTGGTTCGGCCCCGTGATATAATTGTAATACTGTTAAAAGCGGCGTTGAACCAAACTCACTCACTCACTCACTCACTCCCTCTTTTCAAGGTAATGCTTACTTTACTGCACTAAATGTACCAACAACCAAAGAAAATAAATCAAATTGTCAGTTGGACCAAGAGATTGCGACATCATGGATTGTTTAGTCAGGTTCGGAGACTTGTTTGATAACTCATCTTACCCCATCGTACTCACAATATCGATCAATGGATTGTATAGTCAAGAAGAAAGATGTAACCGATAACGTCCCCTATCCTTATTCAGACCGCCTCCGTGGTGTAGTGGAAAGAGAGTCTGCCCTGAGAGTGGAATGTCGGTGGTTTGAATGCCTGACCGAATTAAACCAAAAGACGTAAAAAGATGGTATTTTTTGTTACACGGCCTTGTGTTCGGTGGAAAAAACAAGACTGGTCGGCTCCGATTGTACATGCAAAGCAACCACATGGTAGGGTTTCTGTAGCATGGGATCACAGTATACTAGCAGTATACACCCAGTCTAGATTAGTTCAACTACCCCCAATCCCTGGAGATGTCAAAAGGTACCAGTCAGACGGAATGATGATCACTGCTCCCCTAATTTTCTCATGGTAACATCATCCCACGGAGATGTCTAAAGGTACCAGTCAGATTGAATGATGGTCACTGCTCCCCAAATTTTCTCACAGTAACACCATCCCATGGAAATATCTGAAGCTACCGGTCAGTCGGAATGATGATCACGGCTCCCCTAATCTTCTCACAGTAACACCATCCCATGGAGATGTCTAAAGGTACCAGTCAGTCGGAATGATGGTCACTGCTCCCCTTATCTTCTCGCAGTAACACCATCCCACGGAGATGTCTAAAGGTACCAGTCAGTCGGAATGATGGTCACTGCTCCCCTCGGAATCTTCTCACAGTGACATCATCTAACGGAGATGTCTAAAGGTACCAGTCTGTCGGAATGATGGTCACTGCTCCCCTAATCGTCTCACAGTAACGCCATCCCATGGAGATGGCTAAAGGTACCAGTCAGACGGAATGATGGGCACTGCTCCCCTAATATTCTCACAGTAACACCATCCCATGGAGATGTCTAAAGGTACCTGTCAGACGGAATGATGGTCACTGCTCCCCTAATCTTGTCACAGTAACACCATCCCATTGAGGTGTCAAACGGTACCAGTCAGACGGAATGAAGGGCACTGCTCCCCTAAACATCTCAAAGTAACACCATCCCATGGAGATGTCTAAAGGTACCAGTCAGACGGAATGATGGTCACTGCTCCCCTAAACATCTCACAGTAACACCATCCCACAGAGATGTCTAAAGGTAATAGTCTGTCGGAAAGATGGGCACTGCTCCCCTGAACATCTCACAGTAACACCAATCCATGGAGATGTCTAAAGGTACCAGTCAGTCGGAATGATGGTCACTGCTCCCCTAATTTTCTCAAAGTAACACCATCCCATGGAGATGTCTAAAGGTACCTGTCAGACGGAATGATGGTCACTGCTCCCCTAATCTTGTCACAGTAACACCATCCCATTGAGGTGTCAAACGGTACCAGTCAGACGGAATGAAGGGCACTGCTCCCCTAAACATCTCAAAGTAACACCATCCCATGGAGATGTCTAAAGGTACCAGTCAGACGGAATGATGGTCACTGCTCCCCTAAACATCTCACAGTAACACCATCCCACAGAGATGTCTAAAGGTAATAGTCTGTCGGAAAGATGGGCACTGCTCCCCTGAACATCTCACAGTAACACCAATCCATGGAGATGTCTAAAGGTACCAGTCAGTCGGAATGATGGTCACTGCTCCCCTAATTTTCTCAAAGTAACACCATCCCATGGAGATGTCTAAAGGTAGCAGTCTGTCGGAATGATGGTCACTGCTCAACAACTCCCGAAACAGCGCCACAAAATACTCTTCAAAGGGGACACTGATGGCACAAGCGGATCATCCCATGTAAGTTTATATATCTGACCAGATGGTTTAAACTCACTTCATTTCACCACGCTTATCCTTTTACGTTAAATCAAATTTAAAGTTGTGAAAGTGGTCGGGTGCGCATGGGTCACGCTCATGGGGACCCTCGATCTATAGATCGGTAGTCGTACTTTGTAAATGGATATAGCTCGATTATATAGTGTCTGTAAAAGCTTATATAGAATGCAAACCGAATTTGATGCGTGTGACTATCTTGTTTGGTTTAATAAAGTGTTTGTAAATATCTCTCGCTCTCATGAGATTGCTTATGGTTGCAAATGAATGACGTCTCATGATTTTTTTATGAATGAAAAAGTAGTCCCGATGTGACAGAGGTCACGGTTATTCAATCAAAACGAATAAAACAACGTCAGCCTTGTACGACACACGTGTGACGTACGGATTTAGTATCTTACCACCTGTATCTTCACCACGTAGGGGGCGGTCGGGTAGCCTAGTGGTTAAAGCGTCACGCCGAGGACCCGGGTTCTATTCCCGACATGGGTACAATGTGTGAAGCCCATTTCTGGTGTCCCCGCCGTGATATTGCTGGAATATTGCTAAAAGCGGCGTAAAACCATACTCACTCACTCACTCACCACGTGGGTATTAAATGTACATATCAGAACTTGTGGTTCTTTGTTTTGTTTTAATTGAAGTAGTTGCATGTCTCGTGCCAAGTTACAGTTTAATTTCATAATTGATTGATCAGAAGAAAATAGAAAACTTAGCACAGTTTAGAAAATTACAACCATTACTTATAGAATAACACACGAGGTGGGTTATTCTATTTATTACTCATAATCCTTTCAAGGAAATATTTCAAGAAGAATAAATGTCGCGGTTAAGAATCATCTGCTTCGTATCAATCCGCGTGTGAAAAAACACTCACTCACTCCAACCACATTACGTGTTAACATGTTGTTAAGAAAAATATAGTTCTGTTAAAAAACCTTCAAAGATATCATTAAAACAGGTAGAATTCTGTCTGATTTCTGTAGAATACACTATCTAGCATTGATAAAGAAGACAAGTTTCAAACAATGTTCAGGTTTTTTAATCAAGGCTTGTTTTGACAAGATCTCGTCTTTGACAGACAGCCACCGTCGTGCATTAGCATTGACATGCATTTCACATTGGGAAGTGAGTGAGTGAGTTGGGTTTAACGCCGCTTTTGACAGTATTACAGTTATATCACGGCGTGTCAGCTTAATGTGGGAGGAAAGCCCGAAGTGATGCAGGTCTCAGACTTTTACCACTTCAGTGAAACCCACGTGCAAGGGTATGGTGCTGACAAACCTAGAAACATAATCGGGGCGAACCGGGATTCGAACCCACAATCATAGGTTTCTGGCGTGCCCAAGGGACGCGACTCTGCACAGCGAATCGCGGCGCCTTAGACGACTGGGCCACCCGTGCCCCCTCACATTGAGAAGAGGAAACGTGGGAAACCTGTCATTTTTTTTATGTGTCTTTCGAAAAAAAAAAATGCCCAAACCTCTAACAACATAGAAGGAATGTACAGAAGTCTTGTTTGTTAAAGGTGACGTGAAATGGGGTTTAACGTGTGTGTGTGTGTGTGTGTGTGTGTGTGTGGGTGTGTGTGTGTGTTTGTGTGTGTGTGGCTGCTTGTAATAGTCCGGACTGATGCCGATTTATAGTGCTAGCCCACTGAAATACCATGCCGCAGTTTAACATGAATACCCCACTCAGACACAGTATACTGACTCCGAGCCGACCAGTCCTTGTTTTAGCCCCTTAATGCCGAGCGCCAGACAGGGTAACAACAAGTACCATCTTTTAACGTCTTTTGGGCGGGGATCGAACCCCGGACCTTCCGCTCTCCGGGCGGACGCTCTACCACTAGGCCACGGAGGCGGTCTTGTTTGTGAGAGAACAGATAGGAAAAGTAGGTAAACTTTGGAAAGTACGATTGCTGTATCAGTGTCGGAATGAATGACGCGACTTGACCCAGATGTGAGACACTCGAAACTAGGAACAACAGAACCGGCGTTACAATTTAAGCCGGACAGCAAGTTCTATGAACATCGTGTGTGACTAGTCAAGCACGCGTGTGGGGTGGCCATAGCCTACAGTGGTAGTTGACAGGAGTTTGTTGATATTTTGATGTGATTCATTAGCATGATGGTCGAATAGATGTTGATAGACTAACACCGCATCTGGAGACTTGGTGCCAAGCTGTCCGCATTCACGGAGTATATTTAGTTCAATATCGGACACAGGATCAGCTCCCACGGGTAAGTTTCCTTGCTTTTGTAATTTGATTTTTGTTTTGATTTTAAAACCTCCCAGCGTTTAGCAAAGTGCATCGATTTCGCGAGCAGATGTTTGTCATCATGTCGCTAAGGTAGCGCTCTATACTACCCTTGATCTCCTTCAAAGTAGACAGTCCGAATTCGGAACCATCTTTTTTGCGTACTGAAATAAAAATTGGCTAAGATTAATATTTAGTCTCACCTTCCTTGTGCCATTACGCTTGTATGTATACTTTTGTGAACTAAATTCATGTCCTGTTTAGGCTAAGGGTTAAGACTTTTTTGGGGTGGCCGTTCTTACTTTGGGTGGCCCTTTTGACTATGGGTTGTAATCGTTCTTACTTCTTTATGGCCGTATTGATTTTACCCTTTGAAGCCGTTTTGACCTGCTCCCGTCTTTCTTAGTGTGTTTCATTTTCATTGGCAGTTGGATCTTATCGATGTCATCATCGTTCACAAAGGCCAACCTGTCTGTACTTAGTCCAGATTCGGGTGGTCGAAAAATTCGTCAAACAGCGATCACAGACGCTGGCAAACCCGGACTTCGTGGTGTTGGCTTTAGCGCACTAGAAACACTTACTGGCAACACATGCACTATGAATCGTGGAACTTCAATCTGGCCATATGCAGTTTTAACAACAAAGACATTTGTCGTGTTCAGAGGTGGAGTTTTTCTAATAATTCTTCCTGTCAGTCAGATCTCAAATGGTCAGCCATATTTGTTTACAAACAAAGGCAGACGTAGTTTTGTTTTTTATTGTAAAAGGAAAGTCATGTGAAGTAAATGTTGATAAAAATGTGAAATCATGTTATTGATATGAAACTGTGTTGGCTCTCTGACCGTCTTTGATTTCGTGACGCTTGTGATTG